GGGGAGTTGAATCCTTCATTCTCTGGTGATTAGAGAGGTTTCCACTAGGCAGCCGGGCAGACATGCCCTGTTAGCTTTAAAACAGGCTATTTGTCATTGCATCTGTCCTTCCACAGCTCCCGCTACCTGGGAAATACCGGTGACCCCGGTGGGCGGGAGGGCCCCCCGTGCCTCACGTGCCGGGACTTCAGGAAGCCCCCCTCCCCCCCCACTACTCTGCTCTTCCTGGTCCCCCCTCCCCAGGAGGATTCAATTCTCTGCTGAGCCTTTGTGCCGGAGCCGACAAGCTGCACATCACCCACTAATCTAGCTCCCTTCCCGCCACCCTCCCTGGTGGCACTAGTGTTTCATTAACCACCGCCTTGGTAGGTGGCTGGAGAGAGCCACCGCGGCCCTTCCTCTGGGGGTTACTCGGCGTTTCTGAGGCAGTGAGGAACCCCACTCCACCCCGAGGAGGGCTGAGGTTGGGGGGAAGGGGCCCAAGGCCAAGGCACCTGAGTGTCCAGGAGGGGGTCGTTTAGGAGGCTCCTGGGTCTGGATGGGCAGCTGCTGGGCACAGGGGACAGGACCAAAGGGGAGGATCTGGGCCGTGGGTGGCCGTCACCAGCCAGGGCCAAACCAGGAACGTGGCAACAGGATCAGAAACCATCTGGGCCCCCGGGAGTTAGGGGAGACGCAGGTGGTTAGGGCCCTGAGGTCGAGGCTGGTCGCCAGGTGGCAACGGGCCCCTCTGGAGGCAGGAGATGCTGGTGAAGACCCCTCGTCCTCCCTCAAACCAGGACTGCGGTGTCTTGGGCATCTCCAAACCCCTCTGGCCAGGATCCGCTCACCAGGCCCTGCCCTGGCTCTCTTGCCTCCAAACTGCACTCAGGGTAGAGCGACAAAGCCAAGGCAGCAGCTTCTACGCGGGCACGGGGGCCTTGGCCAGGTGATGACCCAGCAGTGTCTATCACCTCGGATGTGGGAGTCGAGCTACGGCCACCTGGCCTATTTCCAGGAATTCAGGGGGTCCCCACTGGGCTCCGTGGTCAGGGCCTGCCTGAGGGTGGCCCCCTCTGTGGACGGCGGCTGGCTCCCCCCACCTCCAGGGCAGAGAAAAGACAGACCCTGAGTGATGTCCAGCTGGGGTCCTGGGGCCCATCCCCCCACCCGCCCCAGCAGGGCAGAGAGCTGCGAGGGGGGCGAGGGGAGAGTTCCCCCCTCCCCCCTCCTCCCCCACTTTCTCTGTGGTTTAATTAGTATTTCCAAGTGGCGCTATCCCTCTGGGAACTCCAGAAAAATCCAGGAGAGAAGCACAGGGACAGTGTTCTTAGTTTAGGAAGGGCCCCTCCAGGCTGGGAGCACCGGGGCTGGGGGCAGCTCCCAAGGCCACCAGCTCCTTCTGCAGGGCCACATCACACCAGGGACCCACCCCCACCCCCGCAAGCGTGGGAAAGGGCCTCCTGGGGCGGGCGGACTTCGAAAGTTAAGACAGAAACAGGAAATCTGATCTGTGAAAATATGTGCTGGTATTTTCGCTATTTCGGTTCCTTGTTTGTGGAATAGATGATAATCGTATCAGCTGCTGTCTATCAAGTGCTTAGGGTGTGTAAACACCGTTTTAAGCACTTTGTCCCCCCAAGATTTCTATGTTGGAGTCCCAGCCCCCAGGACCTCCGAAAGTGACCATATTTGGAGACAGGATCTTTGAACAGGTAATTAAGGTAACACGAGGTCACTAGCATGGGCCCTGATCCAATAGAAGAAGAGATCAGGACACAGACACACACAGAAGAAAGAGCACAGGAAGAGACAGGGAGAAGACGGCCGCCTACACACCGAGGAGAGAGGCCTCAGGAGAAACTGACCCTGCCCACACCTGGAACTTGGGCCACCAGCGTCTAGAATAAATCTGTCTTAAATAAGCCCCCGTCTGTGATGCTCTGTGAGGCTCGTTTCGGCAGCCCAAGACCACTAACGCCCGTGAATCTTCTTGAATCACACAGACCCTCCAGGTAGGTGCTGGAGTTACACCATTTTGCAGAGAAAAAGACAAGCTCAGGGGAGTGAGCTGGGGGCAGGGGATTTCAACCCCGAAACCCAGTCCCGCTCCACGGGAGGCCGCCTCCCCAGCACCTGTGGCGCATCCGGCCCCCCCCCAAGCCCCCTCCCCACACTCACCTGCCGGCTCTCGCTCCTCCACACGCCATTGACGGTCTTGGTGGGGGCGATGGTCACCACGGGGGGCGTGCTAGGGACGCTGTGGCCCCCGGGGGGGACGATGATGGGGCCCATGGGCACGCGCTTGGGCGTGCTGGCTGGAGAGCTGTGGTTGGTGGCCGGAGAGGAGACGGGGGACGACTCACTGCTCAGTGAAGACCCTGCGGGAGAAGGACACAGCAGCCTGAGCGGGTGCCCCCCGGCCCCCAGCAGCCGGGCAGGGGCACGCGGGCTCCTGCGGACGCCCCGCCCCAGCCTGGGATCTGGGCGGTACCTCCCCACACCCACCCACGGACAGGGCCTCCCGTGCCCCATGCTGCTCACCGCAAGCCTCTCCCCCGAGTGGGGGAAAGAGCCGGGGGCGGAGCAAGTGTGGCTCGACGAGTTACACCCACGGCAGCTGGGGGCGGTGCGCGACACCCCGGATCACCGGGGCTGATGTGGGCCGCTGGGGCGCAGGGTGAGGGGCCTGCTGAACCTGCCCCACAAGAGGCAGGAGCTGCACGTGAGGCTCTGCGCGAGGGGGTGGGCACGAGACGCCCCGAGGTGCACAGAAAGGCCCGAAGTTCTCCCTGCGAGCCCCCTGTGTGCTTGAGGGTGGGCGTCCTAGCTGCTGGACGGGCCTGGCAGAGTGGGGAACAGGCGAGGGCGTGGCTGACGAAGGCTTGTATTTTCAAAATACCGAACGCGTTCATTCCAGGTTTTAAGAACTGAGTTATGATCCGGCGCTGAAAGCATACAGGTTGGTGGTTTTGGGCACATTCACAGCGTTGTGGAAACATCACCGTTATCTGATTTCCATCACCTCCAAAAGAAGCCCCACCCTCAGCATCACCCCCATGTGCTGCCCCCCGAGGTGGGTGGTGTGGAGGGTGGCAGGAGGATGGGATTGGTTTAGCTCCTGGCAGGGGCACAGGGTCATGGTGGTGCGTGGGGTGGGAGGAGAGGGTGGGGCCTGGGGGGCTGGGAGGAAGTCACCCATTTGCAGCCAGGTTGGCCGGCAGCTGCTCCTCCCGCGAGGGGCGGGGCCGCCTGTGAGCGAGGGGTGGAGGTGCGTCCCCCCTCCCCCACCCCCAGCGCCCAGGCTCGCCCCAACGTCACCGCCCGGTGGGATACCTATCCCGGCAGGCGGGCAGCAGAGTGGCCCCTGAGGGCTGGAGCTGCCGGCAGGGCCTGGTCCTGGGGTCCCCGAGAGTCACACCCAGGCCCAACGAGGTTCGGCCGTGTGCACATCCACACCCCGCACTGCTCTGGGCTGCAGTCTGGGGACAGAGGAGACCCCTCACATGCCCCCCCCCCCCCCCCCCGCCGAGGCCCCATGGCCCGCAGGCCCCCGACACAAACCCCACCGCACCTGAGAGCCACGGAGAGCACCCAGGGCCCTGAATCTGGGGCAGGCCAGACAGGGGACCCCCAGATTTTACTGGGCAGCAGAACTTCAGCTCGTCCCAGGCACCGCGCTCGCCCGTGGTCGCGGGGGTTGCGTGAGCTCGGGCGGCCAGAGGAGGTGGACCTGGCCGAGGAGGCTGCGGCCGACAGTCCCAAGCAGCAGCCTGGACACACGCCATCTTGCAAAGCTCCCCTCTGACGGGCTCAACTGGGCAGCGTCTGTCTGCGGGAGCCCCACTTGGGGCACCTGGGGCCTCGGGGCGGGGGAGGAAGCTGGGGCCAGCACAGACCCCCGCCTCCGCAAGCAGCACATCCTCCCTGGATTTTGTTCAGAACCTGCCTGGGTCCCAGGGGCCAAGACCCTCATCTTTTCTCCAAACCATCTCAGGTGGGCAAGCTCCTGCTACCTAATCAAACCTTTGCTTGAAGGGGAGGCACGGCAGCCTACAGCTCAGGGTGCTGGGAGACAGTCACCCCTCCCTCTGCCCCAGAGGCCCCGACCATCGAGGTGCGGGCTCAGCAGTGACCAGGAGGCAGACTGGTCGGATGCCGAGGCCCCACGGATGCTGGGACAGAGCTTCGCCCTGAGCAGCGTGCTCCCGGTCCAGGCCGCCTCACCGTGCTTCCCTACGCTTGTGCACAGCTTGGACAACTGTATGGGGCAGCCCCACGGGGAGACACCCGGGCCAGCCAGACCCGCCCCCGGCCGAGCCGCTCGGCAACCGGTCAGTGCCCGGCCAGTGGGCAGTGACGAGTCACCTGAAGGCTGCTGCCCCTGACGTGTGACCCCCAATTCCCCAAACAGATCTGCCAACCACGGCCCACACAATTCTGCAACCCCAAGTCGGCCGGGCCAACCACCGAGACCCAGCACCGGGTCAGGATCCCAGCCGTGGGGCAAGTTCCAGCCTCGGTCAGCTGTCATCACTGCCCGCCTAGGGACAGCCGACAGGCGACAACGTCGGCAGCCTTCCTTTCCCAGTGGGACAGCCGCCAAAGTTTTGAAACGAGCTGTGTCTGCCAGGTTGGCGGGGCCCACCCGAGAAGCCAGCTTCCAGGGAGAAGCAGGAGGCAGGCGGTGGGCTGACCCGGCCAGGAAACCCCTGTACCCTGAGCGCTCACCAGGTTTGTGCAACTTGGAGAAACTGGAAGCATCTGTCTCCCCACCACTGCCCACGCCCTGGCACGGCAACCCCGCTCCTGGGGCCCCAGCAAAGCAGGCTGCCGTCCACCAAACACGCAGGCGGGCGGCCCCTACGAGAAACTCCCGCCACGTCCACCAGCAGCTGGAAGGACACAGCAGGGAGGGGGTGGAAAGCCACCAGAGCTCTCGGCCGCCAAGCAGGAGGACCTACCGTGCACCCGGCCTGCACACCGGACCGCCCTGTGTAAACTACGCCTGGGGGTAGAGGGAGCGAAAAGAAAGAAAACAAACACACCGAGAACCCCACCAGTCAAGGGAGAGGCTGCACTGCCTGGAGAAAACGGTGGGGTCAAGGCCAGGTGGGCTCTGCTCCTCGAGGGGCCGGGCAGACGGGGGGCAGCTGGAGCAGACACTTCAGAGCCCCAGCCTGTGCCAGCCCCTGGGGCCTCACAGCCAGGAGGGCCCAGTGGCCACGCCACCTGAGCACAGAGACTCAGGGCCACCTGGCTCCCGACCCCGCAGCTGCCCGTCCCCTCCCACCTCTCACATCACCCCCCTCCGGCCTCCGAGCCCCCGCCCCACGCCATTAGCAGGTCTCCACGGATCAGCATCGTTTCTAAGCGCTGGACAGTGAGTGAGGAAGGAGGAGGGGAGGGCGAGAGACGGAGCCTGGGGGCCAGGTGCCCCTGCCCGCCCGGAGGCCACAGGCAATTAGCAGCCTCGTCCCTCAGGGGCGGGCCGGATGCCTCGCTCGGCAGCCAGATCGATGCCTGACCGCGCAACCGCCAATTAGCGCGATCGCCCCCGACCCCGTTCTCAGGGCGGCGCGAGCTGTAATGAACCGGCGGCACACGGCAGGCGACAGCGAGCCCCGCGCGGGTGCGGAGGGGGTGACCGCGCACAGCGCCCCGCGTCACCTCTGTCATCTGACCTCGCGGATTAGCGCCCGAGGCCCCCTGAGCCCATGTAATTAACGGCTGAGACACCGAAGTCGCTGTGAGGGGAGACGGAGATAAGCCTGGAAACACAAGTGCAGCGTGTCAGCTCCCTAGACGCCACCCGAACGACCTGAAGCACCCCCTGGGCGCTCTGAACAACGGCTCCTGCGCCGGGACCACCTCTGCCCGGCGCACTGCAGAGTGTGGTCTCAGTGCCGCCGCACAGCCCTCCCTCTGCCCGGGCACAAGCCTGCACTGAGTCAGGCCGCCTCACCCGGGGAGGGGCGGAGAGCCGATGAGGGACAGCGGTCACCTGATGTGCTCCCTAAAGGAGGACCCCTGGGACGCCTTCCCGAGACGCCCCCTCCCGTGGCCAGAGCCGCAGCACCACAGGGCCAGCCCGAGTGCCGGCTGGAGATGGCTGCGACAGATTCTGGAGCCAGCGCCAAGCAGCAGGGGTCTCCCCGCTCAGACTTTCACTCGGTGCGGGCAGGGACCCGCCAGCCACGAGCACGTGCGGATCCCCACCATCATCACATGGAGGCGGGGAATGAGGTGGGGGACCCTCTGGACTCCCCGCAGGCCGGGCGCAGCGGGGACAGCCGGGCACACGGCACATGCAATGGCCCCACCCACCTGTGGGTTCAGGGAGAACCCCCCTGAGAAAGAGCCGCAGGGCTGCCCTCTGCCCGCTTCCCTTCCTGGAAGAGGCCCTCCCGGCCTGCCTGCCAGCTCCTCCATGGCGCGGGAACAGTCGGAGGCCCGTGCACCCAATGCCCTCTCCCAGGAGCCCTCACCCCACCTCACGCCACCAGCGGGCGGGGCACACCTGCCCCAACGTAGCATCACAGGACGGTCACTAAACCCCAGCCAGCAAAGGCAAGGTGTGGTCCTTCTTACAAGACACACTTCCAGGGCCCGATGATGTGGTGATGAGCAGGACGGGGGCTGGGAGGACGGTGGGCTTCCGCTGTGCTGAGGGGCATGAGGGGCCGAGAGGGGGCGCATCAAGGGACAGGAGAGGAACTGGGGGCGAGAAGGCGGAGGGGGCTTCAGGGAGGGGACAGGGAAAGTCGCTGTTGCAGCGACACGGCCCGGGGAGGCCTCTTGTCCCAACGTCTCAGGGACGGACATCCCCCATCAGGGCAGGCACAAGCCCCCCTCCCTGGGCCCCGCTCTCCTCTGAATCCCTGGCCCAGAGCACAGAGAAGGAGGGCGAGGCACCGAGGACGCCCCTGTACGCTCACACCTGCGCCACGAGACAGATGGGGCTGCAGACACGCCGGGAAACCCTGTGGCCCGCCGAGCCCTGTGGCCACACGACTGACACACACGCGTGTCCGCTCACTTGTTTTGCTGCGTTCTTTGAAAGAGGCAGACTTCAGGTGGCAGAACAGGGGCGCCGCCCCTCCCTCCTGACTCAGGCCGGCTGAGTGAGGCACCACGGGTGGGCAGAGTCCCACCTCCAACCCCGACAGAGGGAGGGATGCTCCTGCCTCCTCCAGGGGCTCCAGGGAAACCAGACCCGCCTGCAAAGCTGCCGACAAGATGAGGTGAGGCTGGCAGCCAGCAAACACGCCTGGAGAAAAGCGCGCTCCCTCCCACCTGGGCTCAGGGTCCTGGGCCGCGCCGTCCTTGCCAGCCTGCTTGCGTCGGGTCCAAACAAAGCCGGGGTCCGTCAGTCACTTCT